GCAGTTACAATTCCAAGTTAAACTATGACCTCTGACCTTTTTAAATTTTCTCCAACAGCTCTCCTGGTTGCTGAGGTCTTCTGCCGGCCTAGCAGCAGCAGCAGTAGTAGTAGTAGTAGTAAAAGCAAGCATCATCACCATCACCATCATAGCCACAAGCACCATCATCATCACAGCCACAAGCATCACCACCACCATAGCCACAAACATCACCACCATCACCACCACAGCAGCAGCAGCAGTAGCAAGAGCAGCAGCAGTAGCAGTGGTTAATTCAAGAATTGTTGCGTTGCTGGTGCTTGTTTTATATAATTGTATTTGACATTTTTTTAGTCAATGTTATTAAATATTGTTGGTAGACATTGCAGGCTCAACTGCACCAAAGAGAAGAAAAAAGTTTGTTAAATAAAATGTTGATTGTAATAAAAAATTATTCAAATTTGTTTTGTTTTTCTATATTTTAAAATAGTTAAAAACGCAAAAGTTTAAATGTATCCATCTCTTAGACCTAGAGGTCCATGAAAGAAATCTTTTAGTCCTTAATTCAAAGCCTAAGTCACATTAAAGGCAGAGTTTCTTTCAGAAATTTTTCTCCGGTGATGCCCCCTCATCCCCCCTCCCCCACCCAGAAAGATGCTTAAAATAAACTTCCGTACATATTAAAGCAGCAGAGATTTCACACTAGTATCACAGATTTAATACAGCGTGTAACAATATCAGAGCAAAACACAACTAATATTTGTCACATACAGCAATAAAATGAAAGTGTTTATAAAATAAACTTATTATTTGCATCTGGTAATTATTGAACACAATGAAACAGAGATTACAGAAGGCATCCGATCTACTTTACCATATTTAAAAACTTTAAAAAATTATAAATACACATTTTTCAAGCTGTATGATTAAAAGAACATTTTAATATCTGCCGCATCATTGACCAACAATTTTAAGAATGTTCGTCTTAACAAATCCGGTGAATAAAATTCACTCCTAAAGCTTTCATATTAGCTGGATATTATCCATGTTTGATTGTAAAACATTCGTCCTCTTAAAACACACAATACCCTTCCACTGTGATCATAATAACTCTTGTTTAAAAGCTGAATTTTCCAATAATATTTGAAGGGCGTCAAATATTTTAAAAAAACAAAACTATTTCATAGGATCCTAGTTCAGGGGTCGGCAACCTGCGGCTCGCGAGCCGCATGCGGCTCCATCGATGTCGAGATGCGGCTCTTCAGCTCCATGCACAAATATTAATAATTAATTTTTTTGTTTTCAAAACTCATAAAAATATTGAAGGATGGGTTCACTGATAAATTTGAACAATTCAAATGAAATGCAAGCACTCTGACGTTTATAATAGAGTCTCTCAAAACAAAACAAAAAAATTTCATAAAAAACCGTTTTAATAACAAGCTTTTATGTAATGATGCACTAAAAAGTAGAAAATAAATTATACACTACTATTTAAATTACTATAAGGAAAAGCGTGGGTCACTTTAGTACTTTAGTACCTATTGGATACCTTTACTAATATTTGAGAAGAGACCCACGCTTTTCTTTATAGTAATTTAAATAATAATTTATTTTCTACTTTTTAGTGCATCATCACATAAAAGCTTGTTATTAAAACGTTTTTTATGAATTTTTTTTTCAGTACTTTACATGTTTTATTTACAATAGTTTTACATGACTAAAAACCATTGCGCGTCTATTGAACGTGATGGCGCGCCTGCTGAAGGTGATGGCGCAGCGATTGAACGTGATGACGCGTGTGGTGTGGTTGGATAGACATGCCTATTGATTCGGTCCAAATTTTAATTAATTCATAAAAAATTAATTAGGCATCCAATTAAGTCAAATTTAGTTTCAGATTGCATTGTCTTCATGTCTTGACCCACGTGCCAAATGTGAATCGTATCGGTCAAGTAGAAGTTTCCGAATTTTCACTCCTGCGTTTCGATCTAGACTGACAACAGATAGACTGTCGACAGACTGTCGACAGACTGGCGACAGAGGAAGTGAGTTAAATAAAAGCTTGTAATAAGAATAACTTTGAGCTATTTGGAATTGATGCTGGTTCGCTTCAAATTAAATTGCTAGATTTGAAAACCAAACATTTGTGGAGCGGTAAGTTCACAGACCTCAAGAGCAAGTTAGATGATTTGGAGGTCAGAGTAAAACATGTACGTTTCACTGTACAACTGAACAGCTCTAAAAATGCTGCGAGTTGAGGCCCTACTATGTGACGCATGGAATAGTCTTGCAGGATGCTATAGTAAGGCGAAGAAGTTGGCATTTGGAGTGCTGACGATCTTCGGGTCAGTATATTCATGCGAGCAAGCGTTTTCTTGCATGAATATAATACAAAGTATAGAAGCCATCTAACAAATACAAATCTAGAATCGTGGTTGAAGCTGAAAACAAGTTATGAGCCAGGTTTAAACAAACTTTCAAAAGGCATTCAAGGCGAAACTGTTGTAAATAGTATTCAATAATGAAAGTTATATAGATCTACTTTGATTACTGATTTTATTATTCTAGCAGAGCTAGATAAAATACTTTAATACTTATTTCTACGAAACATGTGAATGTTTTGATTTGAATAAATATTATTTCATATTTAAACCTATATATATATATATATATATATATATATATATATATATATATATATATATATATATATATATGAATAATCAAAAAATATGTAAAACACGGTTTCGTGTAACTCAAGTGAAAGGACCTCTATAAGGTCATCTATTTATGCCGCCATCAACACCCCCCTTCCCCCATCCAAGTACTACTTTAATCTAGCTTATTCCAGTTTTCATAAAATTACAAACACAAATTTTCATTAACTTAGAGGTCTCTAAGATATTTTTAAGAAGGATTAAACATAACAACGATCAATGTTACTTATAAATACAAACATGTTATTACTTCTCTTTTTAGTAAATAAATAAAGTTCCCTTTTCAAACCTAACGGTCCAGGAGACAAGTGAAGTAGAGTTAACCTGTTTCTGTTACTTCGGCATATATTGGGATTATGTGGTCATCACTATGCCCAGCCGTCATTACTTTCCCTAACGTGAGTTAGGAACCCATTGGAGCTCGGTAACTCAAAAACGTTCTACTGACTTAAATCCGGATTTGAACTCGAGACTTTCGGGTTACCAGTCTAGCACCCTCCCCTAGGTCACGCCGTCCCAGTTCTGAAATAACTTTGCTAGAATAAAGATTAAAAGTATCGATGCCATGTTTATTTTTACCGACAAGGAAAGCGCGTCAAGGTACACACATCTCTCCCCCCCCCCCTTCCACCTAGTCTTACATCAAATGACCCCACAATAAGTACTTATAATATTTGCATTATGGTATTACTATTACTTGTAATATTAACAAACAAAACATAGACAGAAGAAGTGATAGAAATAGTCTTTTATAAGCTGAAAAAAAACTGTAGAAAAAAGTGTTTAGCCTAATTGATGACTTTGAGAGGGGATTATTTAGCAGATTCCAAAATTTATATTTTGCTATCAACTATAATGTAAAACAAAAAAACAAATCGTCCAACAAACGTTACCATTCAATCAATACAAAAAACTAGTGTCAGAGTATCGACAACAAGCAAAATTACTGAAGCCAACTTGCACAATCAAATTTGCAATTATTGTTTTACTGGAGCCCCCCCCCCCCCCCCAACACACACGCACTTTCACACTTCACACTAGGAGACTGTTGACAAGGAATGGAAAGTAGTAGTCAAGTCCAAGCATCGAATGATATGTTCATTGCAGTTTTCAAATGTCATTGTTGTATCACCTTAGTCCACTTTGGTGGACGGTGTATTTCGAGCCGATCAATTAGACAATACATTATTTGTTGTTTGAAAGTAGATATTGGTGTCACCCTCATCCTGTTTTTGGACTACTGGCGTCATTTTGTGCACACTTTATATTAACCAACCTATTAATTCCAGGAAAAAAACAACAACATCGTTTTCATAGTAAATTATTAGTTGTGATGTCATCCCAACCCCACCCCACCACAGTCGTTGACTGGTGCATCAGTAATTGAAAATATTCAAAACATTTTTCCCCTCTGTACATTTTGATAATTTAAAGTTGGTGCCCCCAGGCACCCCTGCGAAATAGCAGTAAAACGAGTGAAATTAACTTTATTGTCAGGCCTCTACTTTAACATTCTATTAATTGGAACACAGGGATATACTAACAAGGAATAATTTAATACTAGGCCTATAAATTATATGACTTAGAATGTAAGTGGTATGTTAAGGTGGAATGGTCGGGAAATGGTGTGTGGAGTAGGGGTGGGATAAGGTTGGGGTGGACATGGCGATAGAGTGGCTCATGAGGCGCAGCTTATGTAAACAAATCGCTACATTTGTCTGTTTGAATGTAAGTCAACATAAACAAGCTATTATTTTTTTTCTATTTCGTCAGGTGGGGATGGGGTGAGGCGGTTATAGTGGTCAATTTAAAATTATTTTGAAGACGTTATATCTTTATCTAAGAAAAAGAGTGCAGATTTAGCAAAGGGAAATCAAAGTAACTTTTTTTTTCATTGTTTAGCCAAAAGAACATCCTTTAAATATAAATTAAGTTCTATCGTTAAGAAAAATAAATGAGAAACCTAGCACTCCAATCTATTTTTAAAAATATAGCACCAACTTACCCGGATTTAAAACATCTTTCTCTAACGAAGAGCGTAGATCTATGCATTGTCAGGAACGTGAAATCTGTGGTTCACAACTATTCTTTCCAAGGGAATTAAGTCGAAACTTTTGTCCGTAGCTTTTCTTACGCCGAATTACACAATGTGTTTTACCTCCCTTACCTGCACTTTTGTTCTAACGGTCACAAATGCACACATTGCCTGATTCTAACTGTAATGAAATGTCTAATCTAAACGACAATCTGTCTGAATGGTGTACTGAGACAAGTGGGAGACGACAAAGGCAACAGAACACGAGCTGGATGCTGGGTATATAAGGACGGGGTGAGGACGTATGTCAGACACAAATCTTCAGCCTCCAACAACCACTTGGGTTTGTTTGTCCTGTGCTCCACACAACGTCAGCATGAAGGTTTCATTTTTTATCGTCCTGCTGTGTTTATGTAAGTACCGGCATATGTTTATAGATAGCGTAGAGAAATGGAGTTTTTAGAACAAACATTCGAGAATTTTTATTGGAAACAATTTCATTTTTACTTTAAAAAAAAAAACGTACGGAAACAAAAAGTCAAGGCCACTATTTACCAAGCTGGATTACGATTTAAATATTACAAACTATAATTAAAATACTTTTTTTATTTTATTTCTATGTTAAATACATTTTAAAATAAAAACGGAATATATTTGTTTACTTTACAAATCTAAAATACATGAAACATCTCCCATATTTTATTTTAGTAATACCTCTATCACCACCAGTTTCATATTAAGCCTAAAAAAAAATTCATCATTTAAATAAATTTTATTATTTTATATATTTACAAAAATTGAACAAGATGTCTATTAAGTTATTATATTGTGCCTTAAATCGAAATTCCACTGATGAGTTTTGAGATACAAGGTCCATAGTTATCTCAGATCTATCTCTGGTGATACAGATACATACAATTTATAACAGCACTGCATTATTTAGGTATGTGATTTATGAATCATATGTAGATGCAACGTCTATTTTTAAATTCCACATCATATTCCAATCTCTAGGTGCACTGTTAATCTTATCAGATTAACAGTTTAGCTTTCTATTCTAATGTAAACAATACTCTTTAACAGGAGCTCGTGTTACTTTTAACATTTAGTTTTGAGCATGTTGCTCATTTGGTTAAAAAACAAAATTTAAAATATCTTTAAGTTTTAACAACGTCCATAGCAGTTACAATTCCAAGTTAAACTATGACCTCTGACCTTTTTAAATTTTCTCCAACAGCTCTCCTTGTTGCTGAGGTCTTCTGCCGGCCTAGCAGCAGTAGTAGTAGTAGTAGTAGCAGTAAAAGCAAGCATCATCACCATCACCATCATAGCCACAAGCACCATCATCATCACAGCCACAAGCATCACCACCACCATAGCCACAAACATCACCACCATCACCACCACAGCAGCAGCAGCAGTAGCAAGAGCAGCAGCAGCAGCAGTGGTTAATTCAAGAATTGTTTCGTTGCTGGTGCTAATTTTATAAAATTGTATTTTACATTCTTTTAGTTATTAAATGTTGTTGTAATACATAGCAGGCTCAACTGCATCAAATTAAAAAAAATAAGTTTTGTAAGAATAGTTGTTTGTTGTAATAAAATTCAAATCTGTTTTTTTTTTGCTGTATTATTATTATTAGAAGTGTAAGTTCAAATACCACAAGCACCATCATCATCACAGCCACAAGCATCACCACCACCATAGCCACAAACATCACCACCATCACCACCACAGCAGCAGCAGCAGTAGCAAGAGCAGCAGCAGCAGTGGTTAATTCAAGAATTGTTTCGTTTCTGGTGCTAGTTTTATAAAAGAAAGTTTTACATTCTTTTTGTTAATGTTATTTAATGTAGTTGTTAGACATGGCAGGCTCAGCTGCACCAAAGGGAAGAAAAAAGTTTTGTAAAAAAATGTTGATTGTAATTAAAAAATTATTCAAATTTGTTTTGTTTTGCTACATTTTAAAATAGTTAAAACCGCAAAGTTTAAATATATCCATCTCTTAGACCCAGAGTTCTATAAAGGAAATATTTCAGTCCTTAATTCACAGCCTAAGTCACATAAAAGCAGAGTTTCTTTCAGATATTTTTCTCCGGTGATGCCCCCTCATCCCCCTCCCCCTCTCAGAAAGATGCTTAAAATAAACTACAGTAAACTATAAAGAAGCAGAGACCTCACACTAGGATCACATATTTAATATGTCAAATACAGCGTGTAACAATATCAGAGCAAAACATAACTAATACTTGTCACATACAGCAATAAAATGAAAGTCTTTACTAAATAAACTTATTATTTGCATACGTCAATTATTGAATCTAACACAATGGTACAGAGATTACAGAAGGCATCCGATCTACTTTACCATATTTAAAACTTTAAAAAATTATAAATACACATTTTTCAAGCTGTATGATTAAAAGAACATCCTAATATTTGCCGCATCATTAACCAACAAGTTAAAGAACGGTGCAGAAAAAAATGTCACTCCTAAAGCTTTCATCTTAGCTGGATATTATCTATGTTTGATTCAATATCATTCGTCCCCTTTAAACCCACAATACCCTTCCACTGCGATCAAGAGAACATGTTTAAAAGCTGAATTTTTAAATAATATTTGAAGGGCGTTAAACTATTTAAAAAACTATTTCAAAGGACCCTAGTTCAAAGCTACACTTTGAAAATGGACCATTCTTAAAGATAACTGTTATATAGTCTACAGATTGACGCTTTAAATAGACGTGTGACAAATGTGACCCTATTAAATATTCCAGCAAATACAGACCCGACAACATGGCTTCTGTTAAAGGACCCGTCAATCACGTTAAGCTTCGTTGATGTACAGCAGCTAATGTGTTCATTATTGTTTGATTTCAAATCTAAGAGGGTTGGAGTTGGCATGCGGGTAAGCGCGTGGTTGCTAACATAAAAGTCTCGAGTTCCAACCCTCGAACAGAACAACATCGTTAATTGAGGTCAGCACTAAACGAGGAGAGAAAACATCGCTAATTCCATGTTGTACAGGTGACGTCCTGTCAATTAGCTGTGTGGAGAGAGGGGGAGGGGGGGGGGGGTGGCTGATGCCTGTGCAACATTTGGCTCTTCTAATCACACTACTCAGGCTTTGTGCTTGGATTTCCAATGCAAAATCAACCAATGGTCTTTAGAATATGTAGTAGTGGCTAGTTGGGGTTTCACCCGATGAGACACCTTGTCCTTATGTCAGCCCCCGCACTCCAAAAAATTATATATATATATATATACTAGCGTAACCGCCCCCCGCGCGTTGCCGCGGGGATAGAAGAAAGTCTGACGAAATATATTAGAAGGATATCATCAATGCATTACCAATCCTTCTTTTCTAAAACTGTGTTATTTAAATGCAAACAATGCCTGCGCTTGGGTAATAATTATCGGGACACGGGTTTTCCTACACTACCGCATGAAAACCTTGAGTGTACATTAATCACTCACCGAAATAATGAGGTAGAACACACTTCGGTGACCACCCATGTGTCAGGGACGTAGAGGGGCGCTTTCAGGAGCCCCCCCACCCCCCGATTACACTACCGCATAGGCGCAGCGTACGGCCCCTGGCTCCTTAAAGCTAACAGGCGCCATCGTGCTCATAGGATAACCCAGCGTGCCAATAGCATCCAGTAAACAATGATGCAGATTTCGTCATTTGCTAAAGTGACACAAATGAACAGGGTTTTATTCTTTAACACGTAAAAAATTATTTGACGTGTTTTAAACATCAGTGTGACTATGCAATATGCTAGCGTTACTAATGGTCTATTATTAGATGCTCGATCTCAATTTCTGACTGGATCGTCTAATAATAGATGCTTATTGCATCATTCGCAAAGTGACGAAACTCTACAGTAGGCTCCTCGTATTCAAAAAGTTATTTTTTCATCTTTCGCAAGGTGACGAAACTGTACAGAAGGATTTCCTCGCGTTACAAAGTTATTTTTAGAAGCCTGTTGTAGTTTTACCGCTGAATATAGTAGTACCCCTTACTCGCTATGCAGGACGCTCGATTAACGGATGCCAAGTGCCAACATAGTCGCTCTAAAACTCTGGGCGCCAAACCGTGTATTGACGAAGGTTGTACCCTATATGGCGCCGCCCATAAGAAACTTTAGTTTTCTTTTTTTGCAGGAGGGGGGGGGGCGCCGCCCTTGCAATATTAAACAATATTTTTTTGCAGAACCCTACCATTGAGTAATCTAATCATCTCCCCAAAGTTTCATGGTACACGGATGAATGGTGTGAAACCGAAATTTTATAAACCGTATATAGAGAAAAATCGCAACCTCCCGTGGCGCCGCCCTTGCGAAATTTAAAAAGGATTTTTTTTTACAGAACCCTTCCCTGAATTGTTCTAATCAACTCCCCCAAAGTCTCATGGCTATCGGATAAAAGTGTCACACAAAAATCGACTTTTATTTTTATATACCGTATATTGAGAAAAATCGCACCCTCCCGTGGCGCCGCCCTTGAGAAATTAAAAATGATTTTTTACAGAACCCTTCCCTAGAGTTTTATAATGAGCTCCCCAAAGTTTCATGCCTATCGGATGAACGGTGTCACTGCAATTCACTTTTATTATTTGTATATACCGTATATAGAGAAAAATCGGACCCTCCCGTGGCGCCGCCCTTGCGAAATTAAAAATTATGTTTTTACAGTACCCTTCCCTAGTGTGGTATAATGAATTCCCCAAAGTCTTATGGTTATCAGATGAACGATGCCAAACCAAAATCGACTTTAATTTTTATATACCGTATATAGAAAAAAAAAAAACAAATCGCACCCTCCCGTGGCGCCGCCCTCTGCGAAATTAAAAATGATTTTTTACAGAACCCTTCTTTAGAGTTTTATAATGAACTCCCCAAAGTTTCATGCCTATCGGATGAACGGTGTCACTGCAATTCACTTTTATTATTTTTATTTACCGTATATAGAGAAAAATCGGACTGTTATGATGCATGTTATGATCTATGCTATAGATCGGCGCGAATGAATGTTGGTGCGAAAGGTATGTTGAACGCAAGGAATGATGACGCGTATGGTGCGACAGTGACGTTCTGGTGTAGAGACTGGTTGCTGGGTATTGTGCGTGAGTTAGTATGATTTTCTTGGTCTTGGTGGAAGGATGTACGTGAGTTGAGAGTACAGAATTAAAGATAAGGAAAGAAGCCTGCGTTCCTCTCATTGATTGTTGGTCGTCCATGTCGTCTTAGTGAATGATGGTACGATACATGTCTGTGGACACAACATCTCCACATGGTAGTGGTTAAGACAAAATGGTATTGAATCAAATAATCAAAGCCACTCACTCAGCGTAACATGGTGGAGCAGCTCAACAACGTATACCAGATATAACAAAAGTATAACAGGGCGAAGCAGCTTGAAAGAACGTGATATATGGACTGTTATTCTGAAAACCGTGTGTGAAGATCCTGGCGTGAAAAACCGTGTGGAGTACTCGTATCTACCTTTGAAAACCCATCTGGATAAGAGGAATCGGTTGTTGCAGTTTCGAGCTGGGAGGATCAGCGGAAGTATAGACACCGGATAATTAATTTTCTATATCGTGGGAACATATCAGTACAGCACATTCTACTGATAGAACGTACCTCTGGAGCGTACAGCGAATTGTTCAATAACGGACATTTCTCACCAGCTGTTTTCCCATCCTCCGTCAGCCGTGTATGTAACATTGACACAACCTTCATCGTGAATCGTCAGCAACACGGTACCGAAAAGACGAAGTTGAAAACTCGAATACTTGTTAAACCTCATAAACATTGGATCCGGAATAATCGCGGAACACCTCGGGACATTTGTTGGGAACTACACTACAAGGGGATCTGTGTGTCAGGACGAGCTGGACAAGCCAAGGGGATCCGTGTGTCGGGACCAGTGTGTGAATTCGTTAATTAAGATAAGTACCACCATTTTTAAATTTTATTAGCACATTTGTGGTAGGTTCATAATTTCATTGTACTAGTTGATCCAGAAGTTGCCAGAGTGTATAGATCTAGATCTGGCATACTCTAGTGAACTAGGATTTTAGCTAACCTGGCTGAAAATAATTGTTCAAAAGAAACAAAAATGAGTGCCGAGCAAACAAAGAAGCTGCGTGAATAGGGGCAAAGTTTAGATTATAGGGGTGAAGAACTAGAAACATGGGTAAGGGGACAATTAAGGTTACTAGAAAAATTATCCCTGATTCCCACTGAATTGGAAGCTTCAAAATTAGAAGTAGAGAAGGCTAAAGCCCAAACTGCAGATCTAGATAGAATTAGGGTACAGGCTGAGGAGCAAATGAAACTAAACGTAGCAAGGGTCATAATGAAGGTTGAAGAACAGGCTAGAGGAAGCATGGAACAAATGAAATTGGATTACCAAGCAAAACTTGAATCGGACCAATTAGGAATTACTAAGACAGCAATTAACATGGACAGGACCCATACTAGTGATGCAAATATATTGGGGAAAATACCTAAATTTGATGAGTATAGAGATAATCTTGACTCTTATATTAAACGATTTGAGACCATAGCGAAAACCACCAACATTCATGAGTCTCAATGGGGCACACACCTACTAATGCTGATCGGAGGGAAGGGTTTGGATGCCTGCCAGTGCCTAAATGAGGAGGAAATGAAGAATTATCGGACCTTGAAACAGACACTATTGGAATTTTACCATTTGACCGAGGAGACGTATCGAATTAAATTTCAGGACTTACTCCCTGAGAATAATGAGGACTTCAAAATATACAGCAACAACATCAGGACAGCTTTCGATAAGTGGTTCGAAGCATCCGGGCTGGAGCCGACTATGCAAAATTTAAAGGAATTGATCCTAGTTAATAAAGTCCTGACTTCAGTGGACAAAGGTCTGTTCAGCTAACTGCAAGAACGGAAACCTAGAACCTTGGATACTGTGACAGACCTATGTCAAAAATATCAGGCGGCTCACCCTGACAGACCCATTGGGAGAATGCAGGACCATAATATCTTTACTGCACAAGCCCAGAATGTCAACAGGGACAGATGGTCCTTTGGAGAGGGTAACCATCACATGGAGTCTAACATAAATAGAAGGAACCCTATACCAGGACAGAGATATTGTTCCCGATGTGGACAGTCAGGGCACACAACTACAAGCTGCAGATATAGAGGGGCAAATATGGACAGGACCATTCAATGTTTTGAGTGTCAGGGATTTGGTCACTTTAAGAGAGACTGTCCAAGTGGGAAGGGTGGTATGTCCTCCAGGGGGATCAATCACCTTAATAGTGGTAGATGACTATCATTGATTCTAAACAGTAGTACAAATACTAGATTGGGTACAATACAGTGCTGGGTAGGGGATAGACTTGTTAAAACACTTAGGGATACTGGAGCAAATGTTTGTGGAGTTAGAAGAAATTTTGTACAATCGCATCAATATACAGGGGGGAGAGTAAGGGTAGAAGGGTTCGGGGGAATCGTTCACTCGTGGCCCATCGCAATTATCAATATTAAGACACCTTACTTTACGGGTAGTGTTAGGGCTGCAGTCTTCACTAAAGGACCATACGATTTTATTCTGGGGAACATAAAAGGGATATCGAATCCATCTGATAACCAGATTTCAGAGTGGATGACTAGACATCACATAAACATGGTACAGACTAGGAGACAAACTAGGAAGGAAATTATAAAGGAAATGGGAGCCATGGAAATTAAGGGCGGCCTAAGCGAGAAAAAGATAAAAGAAGAATCCTCAACCGTCCAGGAATCATTGAATAATGCTAGTCTGTGGACTCCTACACAATTTCAAGAGGAACAGAGAAAAGACCAGAGTTTAGAAAAAATATTTAAACTAGCTAAGAAAAACTCCAGAACGTTCTCTAAAACAACAGAACATGGATTTATTTTTAAAGATAATACGTTAATGAGAATCTTTAGAGACCATACCAAGGAATACAAACAATTGGTGATACCACACAGATATAGAAACATTATACTCAGTCAGGCTCACGATCTGTGTCTTGCTGGACACATGGGTAGAAGGAAAACAAAGCAGAGAATTCAGTCAGCCTTTTATTGGCCTGGAATGGATAGGGATATATCAGAATATATACAATCTTGTAAGCTCTGCATGAACAAAACTAGGACGCCTTAGTTGGCACCTATACAGAAAACTGATTTGGTTTGCAGACCATTCGAAAAGATAGCAATAGATATCATTGGACCGTTACAACCAACGTCCGCAAGGGGACATAGGTTTGTCTTGACCGTTGTCGATCTCGCTACGAGATGGCCTGGGGCATTCCCTCTCAAAAATACAACTTCTGAGGACATTGTGAACTGTTTGATACAGGTGCTTTCAAGAACGGGATTCCCCGATACAATACTCTCTGATAGAGGACCCCAGTTCACATCAGAAATTACTAGGCAAATTTCGTGCTTGCTGGGGATCAAACAGACCTTTACATCTCCTTACCATCCCCAAAGCAATGGTATATGTGAACGCCTGAATGGCACGATTAAGACAATGATGGGGAAAATTCCTAAGGGGAATGCTAACGAATGGGACCTATATCTACCTTGCCTATTATTCGCATACAGAGAAGTGCCTCACTCTATAACTGGCTTCTCTCCATTTGAACTGGTTTTTGGTGCCAACCCAAAAGGTCCTATGGATATCATGAAATCTCTACTTGTGGATGACCGACTGAACCCTGAGATGAAGTCTACATATGAACGAGTGATAAATCTGAGACATCAAATTATTGGGTCATGTGAGATAGCTAAAGCATCCATAGAGGATAAGGCTAATCGATATAGATCTAAAATGAACGTCGGTAGACATGTAAGAAAATTTAAGGTTGGTGACCAGGTTAGGATACTACTACCCTCAAGAGAAAATAAATTACAATTGGCATGGAGGGGTCCCTATACTATTTCTAGAATAGTGGCGAATGTCGATTACGAAATAATGATCAAAGACAAAAAGAAAATTTTCCATGTTAATATACTTAGTCCTTTCCACATGAGACCCTCTGATTTAGAAGTACCGGAATATACAGCTACCATCAATTGTGCTGTGGTTAGTGAGGACACAGATCAGGATGATACTTACGAAATTCGGACGATACCCGTTAACAACGAATCTTTTCGGGACATAGACTTAAAACATATCCCTGAAGAATTCCAAGAAAGGATAGAACAGTTATTATCAAAATATCAGGAGACATTATCTGCTGTTCCCGGCAGAACCAACACAATTGAACATGAGATTAAAGTGATATCGGACACCCCCATTAAATTAAAACCATACGAGATACCCCTACATTATAGAGATCAAGTACAAAAGGAAATCAACGAACTATTGGACACAGGCACAATTGAAATGTCGGATTCGCCTTATGCTGCACCAATTGTATTGAAAAAGGAAAAAAAAATGGTGAGATTAGGCTATGCGTGGACTATAGGCAACTGAATAAAGTAACAATACCTGATGCTGAACCCATGCCTAGTCAGGAAGAGTTATTCGTAAAATTATCTCAGGCTAGAATTTTTTCTAAATTCGACTTATCAAGGGGTTATTGGCAGATTCCCATTAAGGACTCATCAAAAAAAATAAACATCCTTCATCACACCTTATGGATTATACCATTGGAACTTCATGAGTTTTGGCCTAATTAATGTACCGGCCACATTCAACAGACTCATGCGGAAGGTACTAGCTAACAACCTTGACACTGTTGCATACCTGGATGACATCTGCTTATTCTCTGATACTTGGCAAGAACATATGAAGGGGCTGGAGGCATTGTTAAAAACCTTAAGACAACATGGATTCAAATTTCAAATTTCAAAATTCAACTTTCAAATTTATTCAAAAAAAAAAACGGTTACAATATTATTATAGGCACAAAGGCCTTTTTTCACATTGGCCGTTTAAACAAATAAAACCATGTAATAACACATAGCAGTAATATAGCACTAAAAATGTGGAATAAAGAAACAATGTTACATAGTTATAATACAAAATGAGATAAAAAAAGAGAATATAATAGATGAATGAGAAATGTTACAATGAGATGTGTCTGGCACATTAGAGAGATGTGTCTGGTACATTAGAGAGATGTGCCTGGTACATTAGAGAGATGTGTCTGGTACATTAGAGAGATGTGTCTGGTACATTAGAGAGATGTGTCTGGTACATTAGAGAGATGTGTCTGGTACAGAGATGTGTCTGGTACATTAGAGAGATGTATCTGGTACATTAGAGAGATGTGTCTGGTAGAGAGATGTGTCTGGTACATTAGAGAGATGTGTCTGGTACATTAGAGAGATGTGTCTGGTACATTAGAGAGATGTGTCTGGTACATTAGAGGGATGTGTCTGGTACATTAGAGAGATGTGTCTGGTACATTAGAGAGATGTGTCTGGTACATTAGAGGGATGTGTCTGGTACACAAGAGAGATGTGTCTGGTACATTAGAGAGATGTGTCTGGTACATTAGAGAGATGTGTCTGGTAGAGAGATGTGTCTGGTACATTAGAGAGATGTGTCTGGTACATTAGAGGGATGTGTCTGGTACATTAGAGAGATGTGTCTGGTACATTAGAGAGATGTGTCTGGTACATTAGAGAGATGTGTCTGGTAGATTAGAGAGATGTGTCTGGTACATTATAGAGATGTGTCTGGTACATTAGAGAGATGTGTCTGGTACATTAGAGAGATGTGTCTGGTACATTAGAGAGATGTGTCTGGTACATTAGAGAGATGTGTCTGGTACATTAGAGAGATGTGTCTGGTACATTAGAGAGATGTGTCTGGTACATTAGAGAGATGTGTCTGGTACATTAGAGAGATGTGTCTGGTACATTAGAGAGATGTGTCTGGTAGAGAGATGCGTCTGGTATATTAGAGAGATGTGTCTGGTACATTAGAGAGATGTGTCTGGTACATTAGAGAGATGTGTCTGGTACATTAGAGAGATGTGTCTGGTACATTAGAGAGATGTGTCTGGAACACTAGAGGGATGTGTCTGGTACATTAGAGAGATGTGTCTGGTACATTAGAGAGATGTGTCTGGTACATTAGAGAGATGTGTCTGGTACATTAGAGAGATGTGTCTGGTACATTAGAGGGATGTGTCTGGTACATTAGAGAGATGTGTCTGGTACATTAGAGAGATGTGTCTGGTACATTAGAGAGATGTGTCTGGTACATTAGAGAGATGTGTCTGGTACATTAGAGAGATGTGTCTGGTACATTAGAGAGATGTGTCTGGTACAGAGATGTGTCTGGTACATTAGAGAGATGTGTCTGGTACATTAGAGAGATGTGTCTGGTACATTAGAGAGATGTGTCTGGTACATTAGAGAGATGTGTCTGGTACATTAGAGAGATGTGTCTGGTACATTAGAGAGATGTGTCTGATACATAAGAGAGATGTGTCTGGTACATTAGAGAGATGTGTCTGGTACATTAGAGAGATGTGTCTGGTACATTAGAGAGATGTGTCTGGTACATTAGAGAGATGTGTCTGGTACATTAGAGAGATGTGTCTGGTACATTAGAGAGATGTGTCTGGTACATTAGAGAGATGTGTCTGGTACATTAGAGAGATGTGTCTGGTACATTAGAGAGATGTGTCTGGTACATTAGAGAGATGTGTCTGGTACATCAGAGAGATGTGTCTAGTACATTAGAGAGATGTGTCTGGTACATTAGAGAGATGTGTCTGGTACATTAGAGAGATGTGTCTGGTACATTAGAGAGATGGTTCTGGTACATTAGAGAGATGTTTCTGGTACATTAGAGAGATGTGTCTGGTACATTAGAGAGATGTGTCTGGTACATTAGAGAGATGTGTCTGGTACATTAGAGAGATGTGTCTAGTACATTAGAGAGATGTGTCTGGTACATTAGAGGGATGTGTCTGGTACATTAGAGAGATGTGTCTGGTACATTAGAGAGATATGTCTGATAGAGAGATGTGTCTGGTACATTAGAGAGATGTGTCTGGTACATTAGAGAGATGTGTCTGGTACATTAGAGAGATGTGTCTGGTACATTAGAGAGATGTGTCTAGTACATTAGAGAGATGTGTCTGGTACATTAGAGAGATGTGTCTGGTACATTAGAGAGATGTGTCTGGTACATTAGAGGGATGTGTCTGGTACATTAGAGAGATGTGTCTGGTACATTAGAGAAATGTGTCTGGTACATTAGAGAGATGTGTCTGGTACATTAGAGAGATGTGTCTGGTACATTAGAGAAATGTGTCTGGTACATTAGAGAGA